CAGCAGCAGCAGCAGCATGCATTGTCCCAGGATGTATTACAGTATATTGGTGCCCCCTAGCGTATGATTTTTCTCTGCTTCCAAATAAGATTCAATTTAGAGGAGCCATGAGCCAGACACGGAAACTGCTTCAGTCTCGTCGCTCGCATCGACCAAACTAACGAGCACCATTTTAAACTGATGACTGTTTGTTTAAATTCTGTTTTACATGACTTGGACGGCAAAGCTTCGAGAGTTGCCAAAGTTGGATTTACTTTTTTTGCCACTTCGGGCAATCCCAGCGGTGGTATTTAGATCAATTGTGTGTTTATTCTAAAACAAATTAGCCGATTATATTTTGTCTGCATTACTATTTTGTCGGTTTTATTTACAGATCCCGCGAACATGGAGAGTCTGTAAATAAAATAAGCCCGCAAGGTATCGACTTATCGAGGACCCAGTTTTGCTTCAAATGGTAAGTATGGCTTTTTTTTGTTGCTTTCATTATTGTTGATAAATCAGTACCGCTTTATTCCTCTGCCCTGAATTAAATAATTGTGTTAAATTAAGCGGACAGGCTTATCTGTGCAAATAAATAATAAAAAAAAAGAAAGACGCGTCCTGCTGCACACAGACCACAGTAACCAACACAGACGGTAGATTTCCACAGAGCGCATTGAACACGGACCACTCTGGCAAGTCATTTCTCGCTTATTACCAAGTGTTAATTTATATGATGACCACAACAAAAGCCCAAGTAGTTCGCACAAATAGCCACTCATAAAGTTATCTGATGGTGATAGTGAGGCAGGAGGCTGTATTCTTATAGTAACAAACCTACCAAATGCATATGTTGCTGATTCGTCCGTAGCGGGATGCATCTTCTCTCTTATTCAGAATATATTTAGTCTTCTCTTTTTGTGCTCAGATTGGAAACGGGCAAAAGCTTCCCCTCTTTCTCTCTTTCTCCAACGGAGACAGGATCTAACACACAAAAAAAACCAAAAAGACGCACGCTGTTTATTTGGAAAAATGTCTGATCATGCAAAAACTTTGGAGAGCCGAAACAAACAACAGATTCACGTCATGTGTTGCTTGTTGTTGCTGTTGTTGTTGATGATGATGAGGATGATGAGCGAGGATTTGGAAATATAAGTTGGCGTGTCGTCCGAGCAGAATATCTATTTGACTGCCTCTGGAAATGATAAGTGAGCTTTACAGCAAGCAGAGATCCTGTGCGCCTTTTTCTCTCCTACAGTAATGTGGCCAAGGCGCGCTTGCTCGCCGCTGCTTTGTGTGGGCTACAGAGGAGAGAGGGAGGGGGTGAAGTCAGAACAGACACCTGTCTTTAAGTGTGGCGAGCAAGCATTATGAGCGTCTGCATATTCGAAATTATATATGGAGATAAGGCAGCAGAGAGGTAACATGAGCTGGGCTGTGATTAAAAATTTACATTTAAATTAATTGCAAAATAAATATTTAGTAGCCTATGCCAAACTGGAGC